ACTTGGAAAAAAATAACGCCTTGTTTTTGAGTAGCTTGCTAGAACACTAAATATATTGAAGTGTTAAGCCGAAATCTAACTGGTAGCACTAAGAAGTTTCAGTGGATCAATGAAAGCCACTCAAGTGTTGATTCATTAAGTTCTCACTGATTTAACAGGTATGTTCTAATTGGAATAATGACTGGATTTAAATTTTTCTTTTATGATGAGTGTTCAGCTGTTAATTTTTTAAAATTTTAGGACTAACAATGCATTTGAAAGACCAGACAATATTTCAGAAATGAATGGAATATAGCCCTGATATAACAGTTAAATTAATTTTAGCTATATCTGCAATAAGAAACTTTATTGTTTTCAAGGTAAAAACAAACAAAATAAGCCCTTCTTCATCCCAGTTGGTTAGCGTCTTCTCAGATTAGGGCCAACAAGTTAAAGAAATGTCAATGGTTACAACAACTATGGTTCTAGTAATCACGGCTGCTCTAGGAACACTCTGAACAATATCATTTGAATAACATCATCTCAGACAGGATCTCAACAGCACAATAAGCAAAAGTGACACTATTTGGAACATGATACATGATCTTGCAGTATCATACTGATTCTTAGTTTCTTGGAAGCAATCTGAATCACTGATGGTCCAAAACTCAAATCAGTAATGACGGATACACTGAGAAACTGAGATTATAATGATTAAAGCAACAGCAGCAGAAGAAGAAGCTATAGTATCTAAAATAACAGATAACAGTGGTGGTGTTCTAAAATAAAAAAAATAGTTTTTCAAGAGCTGGCTGGGAGATTAAGAAAGTCTAGAGGTATGTCTAGAGGATGTGGTAAAAACCTGACAAAACTTTCTTAATCTCCCAGTTATTTCTGGAAAAAAATGTATTTTTTTTATTTTAGAATAGCATTTCTGGCCTTTTTGAATGCCTAAACAGGAAAACGGAGGTGGCAATGGCCAAGCATGACTGTCCCTCTGATAGGGCACTGGTACTTTCTCCTCTCTGTGAAATCATCGTTGATTTATCCAAGGGTCATATCAGAATTCAAAATTTCGGCCCCCCAAATTATACATGAAGTCAATTTATACACGAGTATAAATGATAGATTATTCAAGCTGGTTTAATACAGATATTACTCCACATGTGTGCTACTGAGGAAATCAATTATACAGCCATTGCGTTTAAAAGGAACACATCTGCTCTACAGAAAGCAAATGTACACCAACACAATCCTTGGATGTAGACAGGATTTTTTTTATACCAGGTTGACTTCCCTTCTATTGACTCGGCATGGATCTGTGTACACTAAATCCAGATAGTAGCAGTTGTGCATCAATATAAATACAGTTCAGTCTTCTAAATCTTTGGTGGACAGGAAATTCTAATGTTATCTTTGAAAACAGTACAAGAAAAGCATATCCACTAGATCAATGGTTCTCAACCTGTGGGGTCCTCAGGTGTTTTGGCCTACAACTCCCAAAAATCCCAGCTAGTTTACCTGCTGTTAGGATTTCTGGGAGTTGAAGGCCAAAACAACTGGGAGCCCACAGGTTGAGAACCCATGGTCTAGACTAACTTTTTGTTGTTCAAGTTGCATTTAGATGATACATAAGGGTACTTTAGCAGCAACAGAAATTTGCTGGAGGAATCAAGAAATTCTACTGCAGAGAAGACACTATGATAGTAAATGGCTTGCAAATAGATCAGAATTAAAGGGCCACCAGAAATTTTAGCAACAACAGTAGGAACTGAAAACTTATTTTTGTCTCTTAGGCATAACAAACGGCACCATAAAGTTATAATCAAGGCATCTTCATGATAAGGAGATGAATGAGAACATAAGAAGTAAATTTGTAAAATTCATTCATAAGCTGACATCATGGATGGGGAGAAAGTAGATCTGAATTTACTGGTCGATCTCAGGGTGAAAAACAAGAATTTTGGATTCCCTAACAAAAACAGCAGCAAGATGATTGGCCATTTACCCCAAAATTAAACTTCTGAAATAAAATTTTAGGTAGCTATGGACAGCTATTATGTGGGGTATTGCAAGTAGTCAAAATAAGTTGTTGGCTCTAAACGTCTTTAATTCTTAGGTTTTACTTTTTTTTTCCCCCAGGCCTCAGGTGATGGACATACAGATTCAAGTTTTTGTCCCTTTGTTAATAAACACAGATTGCAGAAACATAAAGTGTGCAGGATTCTAGCTGTTACTAGCAGATAAATCTGAGTTTCAAAGTACTGAGTACGCTTTTGATTATAACTTACAGCATCAAATACATTGGAATAAACCATTTCTAAGTACAAGAAGGCACCAGATCCTGTCTGATCTTGGAAGCTAAGCAGGGTCAGGCCTAATTGGTACTTGAATGGGAGGCCACCAACAAATAAGTTGTATTTCAGAGGAAGAAACTGGAGACAAAACACTTGAGTATTTATTTCCTAAGAAAACTTTGTAGAATTCTTGGGGTTGCCACAGGTCGAAAGGTAACTTGAAAGCACATAGACACACCCAAGTGACTCTGACAATATGACTGATACTCACACTCACACACTCACACCATTAATTGATTGATTACAAGTTGGACAAAAATATTACTAAAAAGTCCTAAAGGCCTCAATGGAAACTGATTCCTTGCAAGTATTTTGTGGACATCAGACATGATGATACATTTAACAATATAACTACAAAACATTGTAGTTTTAAAATCAAAATTGCTAACTTTTTAAGAAAAGCACAGGAGTGCCTTCTCAACACTCTTTTGACTCATCTGCTGGTTCATGTCAACAGCAGCATCCCAGGGGCACCATGTCCCTCCTTCCACTCTCAAAGTTTGCAATGGCATGCAAAATTCATTTCATAGGAAAACTCCAAAGGGCACTCTGATACAGAAGCAAAGCTCAGACAAGAATCTGCATCCTGAGAACTACAAAGTGCTAATCCAAGCAATATCATTAAAGGTCTGTTGCTAAAGAACTCATTGACTCCATATTAATTTCCCACTGTAATTGTCCAGAATGTCATTTACTACTTCTCAGGTTTCTAAAATGATTATGAAACACACCAAGATGTATGCAAATAATTGTAAATGTTCCCAAGCAGGCAGTTTTGGAAACAAGCTGATCAGAACAGGGTTTGCTTTATTGAAGATCTATATAATGTTTGGGTGTACTGAACATTTTTCTTCACTTCCAATAAAGATTTGAAAACATTGACATTTACAGCCAGGCTCCTGGAAGTGAAGCATTGAGAGGAGCACATGAAAGTAACTGTCACTGTCAAACAAACCAGCCCAAACCCAAAGGATAAACATTAACACTTTTTAAATCTGTAAATATTTGCCTGCCAAACTCCCCTTTAGTCATCTGCCTAAATGAAAAGGGAAATAAATGAACCTTCAATCAACGAGACAACTGAAATGTACAAAGTCCTATCTCCATGATCATTACCACCCCACTGTATACGACAGCAGTATTTTTAATAATTCCAGGACATTTTAAGAAGAGTTTTTAAGTAAACAGTCTCACTTATCACTGCTAAGGATCCAAAGCATTATGATAATTCTGCCACAGTAAACACTCTTCGAGACTCAGGCACAAGGTGGAGCATTAATAAGATTCAATTTAAATCTTAAAGACAGTGAAGTGAGGATATTGCACCCCAGAGTTAATAAAACAAGATTTTGTCAAAGATTAAGCTGAAAAACCAAACTCCAAAGTTTTTCTACAGTCTAGTACTGAACTTTGAACCAGATATTTAAAATACTTAAGCATATGAGTTTATCCAGAAATCTGTACTACAGGCTGTAAAATGTCTTCCAGAAAATTTCACATTGATGTGGCTTCCTTAGTCATCTAAGAAGAATCTTGTTTTCTCCACTGTAATACCCTCATTTTCTCAGCATATGCCAACGGAATAACACAAACACTTATTAGCGAGCTAGAAACAGATCCATTTTTCTGTTTCCAGTAGCAATCTCTGTGACCAAAAGGTAGCTTTTTAAAAATATGGTAAACATGTCAAAACAAGAATCGGCTTTCAGTGATTAATATAAACTGAGAAATCTGCCAATTATATTTAAACAAATAAAAGATGTACCAAACTGGATGACTGTTCACAAACACCATGTAAGTACTGCAACTAGCAAAATCCACTGCTTGCTGAGCTGTTCATCCTACAGACTGACTTGGCTACCTGAGTAAGCAGCACTCACCTTTCTGCTTCTTGGAATTGCCGTTCTTTTGCTGTTCATCTTCTTCGTTAATTGTAAACAGAACAGGCGTGTTTGGCCTCACACCTGCCTTTTTAAGTCTCTCTTGCCGTATAGCCGTTGTCGAACCGGGCATAATGCTAGTCTCCTTTTTGGGGGGAAAAGAACCCTACAATATATCAATTCCACACTCCACTTTGCAGCTGGCTAGCTGCAAAGCAGCCTGTTCATTTGTAAAAGATCTCGTATAGCTCAAGAGCCTCCAAAGAGCTGCTGAGTAACCAATGTTCAGTTAGCAGGAGGCAGCCCGCAGTCTCCTCCACCTTGACAAGGGGGAAACAGCAGGCCGTAATTGCAGGCCCATCAGTCTGGATGCCTCTTCCTCTTACTGCTGCTCCCTGAACCTGCTTGATCAGATCCTACGTCTTCATTCCCTCCTGATGCAGTGCCTTCTCCTCTTTGCTGGTAGCTTCTTTGCAGCTCCTGCACACTGAAATATTCAGCACAGAACCCAGGAAGAGAAAATATGATACGCCACCGTTAACAGTTGCCCTGACAACAGTGACATATCCTAATCAAAAGGAGGTCTATGAATGTCGTCTCCTCAGCTGCAGGAAAGCAGCCTGCCGGAATGCTCCCTCCGTATGTGTGTGTGTGTGTGTGTGTGTGTGCTATTGGCTGCTAAAGCAGAGCAAACCAACATTTAAACGGGGAAGAAAAAAGAAAGGCTAGAACCACCTCGCAGGCTGGGCTGCTCCTTCTTCCCTCAGAGATGGGTGGAGGATGGATGGCACTCTTGCTTGCACAAGACGGGGAGATCTGAGGACAGGAAGCCGACCCGACAAGCCTCCAGGCAGGTACATGAAATTTGCCAGCTCTCAGTTCATTCACCGTTCCCCAACAGCCCCAGCAAAACCAGGAGCATGGGAGGCTCCTTAGTGTTTTGATAGGACTGCTCACTTTCTGCATCGAGAAGGCATCTTCCATGGAAAGTGGCTGTCCCTTGGAAAAAGCAAAATTATCAAGGCAATGTGTGGGTGTCTTAAGTTTAATAAGTAGGGCACTGAGTAAGGACTCACACTTTCCTTGAATTACCAATATCCCCTTGGGCAAATGTTAGCTAATGCAGCACAAAGGTTACTTGCAAGAACAGTAATTGAGGTGGGTAGGGCAAAGTATGATCAAAGTTTTCTGACAGATAAGTATGCTAACATAATAATGTCCTTTGTTGTTTATTGCGTATCATAGTTTACATTTTAAACATGGGTGTTTGGTTGTTGTTTCCTTATTACTTAAAAGGTTTTCTTTTACTGTGCAGTTCCAGTGCAAATATTCATTATAAGAATAAAATTTGAATGATGCAATAAAACAAAAAAGTAGTTTATAAAAGCGCACATGGCAGAAAGATACAAGAAAGAAACAGCAAGCCAGATGTATGTCTAACAGAATATCCTTTGTTGTTGTTGTTGTTGTTGTTGTTGTGTGTCTCCAAGTCATTGTGTGCATTCAAATCATCTGAACCTATCACAGGAATTTCTGAAGGTAAAACTGTATCATTTGCTCAGGGTCTTCCTGTGGTTTTTCATGGCCAAGGGGGGATTCAAACTCTAGTCTTGAACACTCAAAGCACTCCATTACACTTACACGACAGAAAAAGGCCATGAAGTGAAGAGAAAGGTGAAGCTCCTAAGACAGGAGGCTCCACAGTTTGGGCACTGTTGGGACTACATTCCCAACAATTACACACCAGGTAATGGCGACAATTTAAAAGAGTCCCAAACTCAACAACTGGATAAGAAGAGGCAGCCCTTAAGTTTAGAAGCTCTGAAGAAATAGCAATTGGAGGCTCCCATGTTGATTAAATTGTGGATTCAACTGTATCTTAGTCTGAATGAAGGAGAAGGGTGATATCCCTCGCCACTTTGGATAGTTCCTTAACAGTTCACATGAAAACCTAGAGCAAATTTGCTATCCCACTGACAGCCACTGAAGTATTTATGTCTAAAAATGTTGCACCCCAAAATGAATTAGTGATATGAGAAGTTGGTACAGGAATGGAATGACGTGCACCTTCTTGTTCCTTCTGCAGATGAATTGGCATATACGTTATCTTTAGAATATTTAATTGTAATGAAAGTTTAGTCAGGTTTCCACTGTTGGTTTGTTGTGTCTTCAATTCATTTCTGACTTATGGAAAACTTAAGGCAAACCTAACACAAGGCTTTTTTGGCAAGATTTTTTCAGAGTGGATTCGGTATTGAGAGAGAGAGACTTGCCCATTTTCACCCAGCGGTTTCCATGAATGAACTCAAATTCAAACCTTGGTCCCCTTAAGGTCGTAATGTAACACTCAAACCACTATACAATTCTGTCTCTCTGTTTCTACTGACCATAGTCCAAGAAATATGTTCACATTCAGTATTTTAGCATAAATGCTCTAAATCAGTGATTTCCAACTTTTAGTCCAAGAGTTTGGAACTTCAGCTCCCGGAAGCCCCAGTCAGTTTGACCAACTGTCAATAATTGTTAGAACCAAAGACCAAAAATACCTAGAGGACCAAAGGCTGACAACAGCTGCTCTAATTTAAAAAAAATGTGGAATATGCTAAACATGTTAAAGCGAAACAATGGTTGAGCATGGGACTAGTATATGCATGGCTCTCCAGAATTTGCTGGATTGAAGTTCCCGTTATTTCTCATGCTTGGTCTTGCTTGTTTGGGTTGACGGGAGTGGCAACTCAACAACAGTGTAATTTCCTGCATGACAAGGGTTGGACTGGGATGTTCCCTGTGGCCTCTTCCAACTCTATGTTTCTATGAACTGGAGCACCCCATCAGGAAGGCCACTCGGGTGATCCTGTGTAGTAGTATATCTGTACCAGCTCAATATGACTCAAATTTCACATCATATTTTGTCAAGATATATAGCAAAGAGAAAAAAATCTTGCAACAAGAGAATAATGTCCAAAGTATCAAATTTCACTAAAGAACCCTAAACCAAAGTTTGAATGAGCAATTAGAATTGCACACACAACATCTTTCAAAACAGATAATATTTTCCCTGTTTCCTCTAATCAATTGCAATTTCCTATTGGTAATGGGTTTTACTCAGCTGTTATTTGAAGAGGCAATAAAAAATTGCCAGTGGGGAATTCTTGCCCTTTTTATTTGGGACATGACCATTTGCAATGGGGGAAACTGATATTGCACTAGGTAAAACCTTTTTTTTTTTTGCAAGTATTTAACACTTCATAATAGGGGTAAAATTAAAGCTGTCTTGAATTCTGCCATCTAAAAGAAAATTAGGGCAATGCTATGCATTGTGACTGTCGTGAGAAACACTAGTGTAACATCACTTATTTTGTGCAGAAAATGGAGAAATTGAGAAACTGAAGTGTGCATGGGCCACGGGTCTTTAAAACTCAGTGGCTATCAGGTTTCTCAGGTGCAGTTCTGCATTTGTTTAAAGACTTGCATACATGCACAACTTAATTGTTAGCAATTCAAGCATGAATCCATTACAATATATTTGTTACCTTATTAAGCCCAGCCCAACTCCCCCCCCCCCCAAATAAAGTAACTGTTCACATGGAGATTGTAGGCTAAAATGTCTGAAAATTCAATTTTGGCTTTGCAGAGAAAGAGGAGAGAAAGAACTTTTTGTTGTTGTTGTTGTTGCTGTATACCTTCTGGTCATTATGGTCATTCTATGTTGAACTTATCACATGAGGTTTTCTTTTGGCAAGATCTGTTCAGATGTGGTTTGCTTTTGCCTTCCTCTGAGGCTGATAAAGTGTGACTTGCCCAAGGGGAATTCAAGCTGGAATCTCCAAAGTTCAATGCTCAAGCCACCACACCACACTGGCTCCTTCTGTTTGTTACAAACACCAAAGAAAGCAGAAACAGGATATATATTGTGAGGTTAGTGTCAGGGCTGATTTCAACTATGGCAAACGCTCTGGATACACAACTCCTTAATAGCCTTGTTGATGCTTGGTTACAGCTATAGATAGCCAGAGATCAGTCATTCAGTGATTCACCAAGTGTTTAGAAAGTTACTTTAAAATACAATAAATTACAGTTCCAAGGTACTGCAAAATGTACCTACAGGAACATTAGCAGTACCTTCGTTTCTCACTGTCTAATTTTTAAAAAAACAGCAGAAGGCTTAGAAGTAAAGATGCTTTCTGGTTATGTAGAAGCAACCATCCTGTATTTCCTCAAGGTGGTTGAACCCACAACTGGAGATGTGAGTTTAAAAATTAACTGCTTTGTTTGAGAGGTGGGGCTCACTCAGTAACCTATACTTTCACCCCTGCATACAGACAACAACATAAAACACACACCAAGAGGAGGTCATTANAGTAACCTATACTTTCACCCCTGCATACAGACAACAACATAAAACACACACCAAGAGGAGGTAATTAGCAACTTCCAGATGGAACAAACACGAAAACTTCCCGTCTCATGCACAAGCTGTGGCATTTTCAGCTTTTTCACACTACAATTACTCAATTACATCTGCCCCAAGTGTAAACAGATCACTCGCATGGAACACAGGATCCGACAACTCGAGGACCGTATTATGACCCTTAAGGACATTCAGGAACTTGAGCTGTTCTTAGACACCACACACCACACTGTCCTAGACACGCAGCCCATATCACACCAACATTACGGGGAGGCTCAAGAGAACAGCACCTCAGATGTGGACAACCCTCAGGCTTGGAGAAATGTCACCCTTAGAAGGACACATAGGACCCGGAAGCCTCCTCAGAATACTTCCGCTCAGCTGCAGTTACACAATAGATTCCAAATTCTCACACAACTATCACCTGACCAAGAAACACAACATATTGGGGAAGACCAGAATGGCTTAGATACTGATCAGTGGCTCATCCTTGATCAGTGTGCAGGGGATGGCCTTGACTGGGACAACACTTCACAACATTCACACTTGCACAATCGTGCAGGTGTACCATCCCCAACCATAGACCAGGTGCAACAGGAACACATACAGGAGAACCATAGGCTCTTGGACGAATCTCAATGGATTGTCCTTGACGAATGCACCGGGGATGTCGAGGAGGAGGACAACACTTTTCACCTACACAATTCACACCAACAGGATCACTTTTCTGGAGACCTACACACTACATTGCACAAAAGGGGCACTGTCATTCCCGAAAGTAAACAGGTCTTGGTAGTAGGCGACTCCCTCCTTAGAGGAACGGAAGCTGTCATTTCCAGACCAGATGGGATGGCTCGAGAAATATGCTGCCTACCGGGGGCAAAAATACACCATATCGCTCAGAGGCTCACCAGGCTCCTCAAGCCCTATCACCGTCCTCCCCTCATGTTGATTCATGTAGGAACCAATGATACTGCAAGTTATATGTTTCAAAAGATCACAAATGATTTTCGAGCTCTAGGAGCAAAGCTAAAAGAATGTAATGTACAGGTGATCTT